AAAAAAAACTTTGTCCGACCTACCGACCCTATGCTGAAATTTCATGTTACCGGAAACACACTACTTTTTTTTCTACGCCTAAGGTAAAAGAAATATGACTTTGGGGTAATGCTTATTATGGATGGGAATCAATAAGATTTTATCAATATTACTATTAAAATCCCAAATGAAACATTTTTATGTCACAAGTAAAGTAATTAAAGAAAATACATTCAATAAAGCATGAAAAAATTATTTCAATTTTGTAAATTGGACAAAGTAACTGCTTTCCCAACATGAAATCCTGGCGAGCGACAAACCCAGAAGTGTGACATCATTTCAAGGACAACAATAACAGGGCTCATTATGGAAAGTGTACAAAGCCAGTCAGAAATCAATTTGGAAAGCAATGTTTGAAATCTGAGGAAATTCAGTTGTTGAAGAGTTAGAGCAGGTTCTTAACCTTGTTAGAGGTACCGAACCCAACCAGTTCATGTGCCCATTCACCGAACCCTTCATTAGTGAAAGATAAAAATATGATTTATTTATTTATTTTATTTTTTTTACAAATTCAAGACATAAAAAACACATTTATTAAAAACAGGAAAAAAACTAAATCAAATTTCAAGACATAAGTAGAAGTTTTTTTTTTTAACTGTGCGCAAAATGAACCAGCCAGTGATGGCCAAGCGGTCGTGTCAAAACTAATTGACATGTTGAGTTGGGTGTACCTTAACCTCCATGGCAGAAGCTCCGTCGAACCCCTGAGACCGAATCACCGAACCCCTAGGTTTCGATCGAACCTAGGTTAGGCTAAGAACCACTGAGTTAGAGGAAGAGAAGTTTGTTGGTAAGATGTATATTGGACCATACATGTACGAGCCAGATGCAGAAATTGTTGTGCCCGAACGGCCAGACATCGAATGGAGATGAGTTAGCGCAACCAAAATAACTTAAAGCATTAAGTTTTTCATTGGAGCAGGGCTTATGTTGTAAATTTTAAGCTTACACTGAAATGTATCACAAGCTGATTGTTGAGTATCATCGAATGCTAGCTAATGTATACTATTTTGGATGATATCTTCACTCGTTGCAACTTAGCTGCGAAAAAATATCAGCGTGGTAAGCCTTGAGATGCCGCTTGAGATTCGTTGTATTCTTTCCACCTAGTTTGTGGCAACATTTACCATTACCGCCATCTCCAATGCATTGTGTTGTTCTTTCTGCTGGGTTGTACAGAAAATGTGCCCATATATTGTTTGCGACTACCAAGCCCCTTTGTTGACACTGCCACCATGGTCCATCAGTGGGAAGTGTGTCTGTGTTTGTGACTATTGACCGCAGACGTGTTGTGTTGTGCCACTATGTGCGTGTGCGGGCCAGGTGGTGGACATGACCAAAAAAAAAAAAAAAAAGGATCGGTTCCAGCAGCATTGCTGATATTTTCTGATAGATTACGTGCACAGTAGGAAGAAATGTCATGCATTTTGAAAGTCTGACAGGCCACACACTAACAATTTCCTCCAGTCTCGTCTCATCACTGAAAACTCACGCACGTCATGTCACATACGACACGTCATGTTTTAGTCATCACAGAGCCACGTTTAGCTTGTCAACGTCTCGTTATTGTCATGAAAAAAAGGGGCGTTAACAAAGTAATTGTCATTGTCTTTGTGGACAAAAACAACACTTGTTAAAGAATCAACTGTTGAATGTTTATGTACTCAATTAATAATTGTTTCATTACTCGCAATTTCAATCCCCATCAAAATAACTGATTATTATTTGTTCCAAAAGTGTTCAGTCCTACACAATAGCTTATAAATATCTCTAATATCACAAGTAAACATCAGTTGGATCCAGCGTCACAGCTTATTGATGTCATCTCGTCAATGTGTGTTATATGCTGCAGCGGTCTTCTCAAAGCACTGGAGTGCTGATAGGACACAGTCGACAGTCCATTATATAATAAGCGATCCTTGTAGGTGCTGTCATTGGCTCCTGCCTGTGTGTTGTCACTACAATGAAGCATCTGCTGGTTTCCACTTGTATCCGGTGGAAGTAGCATAGTACTGCCGTCATTTTTTGCCCCATGTTATGCACCCATCTTGGGTTAGGTGCATAACATAAGAGGTCACCATGAGTGGAATACAAAACAACACAGTCCGAACAATAATCAATTTACCAATAATCACCTTCACAAAAAATAGTCCAAAGTCAAAATTGTATTAACAACAAATGCCATGTACAATGTATTTCACAAAAATTTCACAGAAATGGGTCATAAGTAAACGGCAGCAAAAGCTGACACGCAAACTAAGGATTTACCCTAAAATTAACTACCGGTAATACAAAAACGAATAACTAGCTACTAACTATGGTGGTACAAAAACTAAGGAAGCACAATTTATTCATCAAGAGTCACTGATGAACAAAATGTGCTCCACACCATCCAGAAAGGCCGGCAAGTTCTTCCCTTCTAATGAAGCTGCTACCGCCGGATACATTTTGTGATACATATGGAAATTGACGACTCCAAACAGCACTTGCTAAATGTTAAAGCTTAGCTTCAACAAAGGGTTCAAAACAAACACACATGTATGGACTAGGTATCTGGCTGGCTTGAGATCAGCTCTGCTGATTTGTGAAAGCCACACTGTCCTTCTTTTCCTTCACAAATGTTTGGCCTTCTCACCCTGTTTCAAAATTTGTGCTCGTAAACATTGAAATGAGACTTTGTCCCTCCTACCTATATTGTCGCAGCCAAACACTGCCACGTAATTCAGCATTGTTTTACATTGGCTCTTAAATTTATCTGTTCAAAGTTTCAAACACTTAAATAATCACAGAAACAAAACAGTGTGTCGACTTGGAATGTAAAAAGAAATCTTGTGGTACGTCTTGTGTGACTACACACTATACCCCATGTATGCATGGCAGACAGTACATCCCCCAAGCTACTTTCTTTTCCGCCGCTGATTATCATGTCCCTCTTGTTTCTCATTTCCTTCTATGCTTTGGAGACTCCTGTAATAACACTTTTTGGGGAGTATGCCCTGCCCACCCGCCTCTATAAATGCCTCCTTACCCTCTGATGTCACGGACCACATCCTTCTTTGAAATCCACAGTGAAGTTTTTTTTTTTTTTAAATAACCTTGTGGTTTCAGTGACTCCAGCCATGTCACCTCCACCAAAATTGGTGGGGCAGGGCAACTGGCCGACCACGCCTGTCTGGAAGGATTGGAGCACTTGCTGAGCTTCAGCAATATAACTCCAGTTCTAAAATCAGGATATGATGTCATAGCCTGATCTGCTCGACCCGATCAGAACATTCTTGTTGTCGCAATGAATGCACACTGTCATCACACACGCTCTCCCCACACACACACACACACACACACACACACACACACACACACACACACACACACACACACACACACACACACACAGTCTGGAGAAGAAGGCCAAGGGTAAAAGGGAGCCACGCAGTACAGGGTGTGTCCATGTGTGCCACAGTCCAAACCCTCAATGGACATCTGTGCTCCTAAACGGCTGCCTAAATGATGACACTGTAACCCACTAACACACACACACACACACACACACACACACACACACACACACACACACACACACACACACACACACACACATTCACACATACTGTAGTCAGTTGTCTTTCACTTGAGGACTAATCCTCTCACTTGCCACGTGCTGGAAAAGATTGAACACTTATCCAATCATTTCAGTGGCACCTCAGAGAGTATGCACTCATTTCCTTGATTAAGCCACATGCAACCTTTTTTTGCCTACAGAAGGTTATGTTGTCATCAGTGTGGTTAGTTTGTTTATGTATTTGTCTTTCTGCTAATCCACCCTAAAGGTTTTTTTCATACATCATCCTTTTTTCTATGATGTTTTGTTCCAAGCATGCTCCAATAGAAAGTTTTTGGGAATCCACTTTTTGAAGTCATCTTTCATGATTATATGAGAATAGAAATTTAACAACATGACTGTTGACATAGTTCACTCTCTATTTTAGTAGGTTGTAATTATGGAAGATATGAATTAGTTCAACTGAAGTAAAATAGAACCCGTGCAAATCTTCCCATTCTTACTACGTGGCCGGGGCTGATGTTTCTGCAGTCACAGGCTTGTGCTGATGACTTTATGAGAAAAGCAGCGAGTGTGCTTCCTACTCCAGTTGGCTGATATCCTCCCTGGCAGGCTGACAGACACAAGCAGTCAGCCTTTATGTGACAAGCTGTCAGTGAGCTGAGTAATACTGCATTCATATGTTTAAATAAGTGGTGCATCTTCTCTCCTTTCCTTTGATAACTCCAGATGCATGCCAAAAATTATGAATATTGAGGGAAACTCGATTTATTTCATTAATTTGCTTCAAAAAGTGAAACGTGTTTGTTATATTAGATCATGACAGACAAGGTGAGATATTTTAAGCCTTGACTTGCTTCAATCCCTCATCTTCCACTTGACAATTCCCCATGCATTTTCAGTGGGGTTCAAGTCAGGCGGGTTTGCTGGCCAATCAAGTACTCTTATTCCATGGCTATTAAAACAGGTGGTGGTGGTCGTGTTGACTTTGTGGGCAGGTGCCGATTCTTGCTGGAAAATGAAATCATTGTGTCCAAAAAGCTTGTCGGCAGTGGGAAACATTAAGTGCTCTAAAATTTCTTGGGAGACAGCTTTGTTGACTGTGACCTTCATAAAAGACAATAGACACACACCAGCAAATGACGTGGCTCCCCAAACTACGACTGACTGAACTTTAAGCAGTTGGACCTATTCAGGCTTCATCAGGCTCAGAGACCTTGATTTCCAAATGAACTGCAACATTGACTTTCATCTGAAAAGAGGACTTGTGCCCACTGGGGAAAAGACCTGGATTGTATCCTCCTTGTATGAGGCTATGTTGGTGTCAATGGCATGGGTAACTTACACATCTGTGAAGGCACCTTTAATGCTGTAAGGTACATACAGGTTTTGGAGAAACATATGCTGCCATCCAAACAATGTCTTTTTTCCCCGAGACGCCGCTGCTTATTTCAATAAGACAATGCCAAACCACTCTGCTGCAGCAGATGTTTCCAAGCCATCTGTTGTCTTGGCTTTGTTCCAGGAATTTAGGATATGTCGATCAGCCGGCTGCTAACGGATCTCCAGACC